AACTGAAAATGAAGCCATAAATGGATCTCAAGTTGTCTTTGCAGTCAATCAGGTCAAAAACAGTGAGTACCCAACGGACAAAGAGAACCTAAAAAGAAAATATGTTACTAAGAGAGTGAACTAAAAGTGTCAAGTCACAATAAAATGAAAGTAATGACAGATCTTTTCTTCCATATTGTGACATACGTCAAATTGTACTGGATTTAAAAAAAAGAAAAAATATAGGCCGGGGACTTGGTTCTATGCATCGGTTGTTGATTAGATTTTGAGATCTTAAAAATGTAGGCAGATGAATGTGAGTTTGTGTGAACAACAACAATGATTGGAGAAGTCCTGCACGTCACCAGCGAGAAGTCTGTTGTTTCAGCGGAAGATCAAGTTATGACATTTTGATTAAAATAATAATTAAATTAAACATGCACATGGATAACACATTCTATAAATGATTGCAATTAATTAATTCTCATTTCATGCAGACAAAAATTAAATGGGCAGCCATTTCACCAATTGTTATCATGTGACCAATCATCAGCCCTTACCTGTGCATTTATTGGCATTTTCCCTACACATAGCCACGACACCCCCTTCACGATGGCCTCCTGTGGCACCACTGTGGCAGGTATTAGAAACTTCAGCACTCGGGTACAGTTCGCAGTTCCTGTTGGATAAACTGAAGTTGATCATCTGTGTGATGATGAACCACTAAAGGCATTCAGCAGAATGAGGATGAGCAACCACTGACATTTGATCTCATTGCTATAGTGTTTCTCATGATGGATTCCTTCTCATGTTGAGCAAACAAATACAGGTAGCTGAAGAAATCCGTGTATGTCCTCCTGATTATATTACCTGCATTTAGGCTCAAAGCCAAGTCCAGCAGCACTGTGATGACTTCCGGAGAAAGACCTTTACTGACAGCCACTGTCTCCACCACCACTATATTCCTCTCCAGCTCATCATTCCCCCTGACTACGGTGCCAGCTTCCACTGTTATATACAAAAATGCATGTAAATAGAGATTATAACACTTGAAGTTAGTTGTGATACAGCATCAGATGACGAGACAGTCAATACAGATAAACAAAATATCTAAAAGTTTGAATTCGTCCTCGTCCTGAGTCGTTGGCAGATTTACTAAATAACGAACGAAATAAACAAATACATAAATAAGCATGTTCTTACTGTTAAACTGTAAACCTCTAAACTGTTTTTGAAATACGTCTCTGTTATGTTTTCTGCTGCACTCACCCTGAGACAGATACTTCACCGCGAGACCAAAGGGATCCGCCTCGCCTTTTCTTTTTTCTTTTTCTGCCAAACGTAGACTTCTGTTGCTCGCAGAGGAGGTGGATGAGTCTATTTCTCCGGAAGGTTCGGATACTAACCCCGTAAGGTTAGATAAATCGGCCATTTTTTCGCTACATAATATTATTATTTCATTTCTCTCGTGTTTGTCTGCAGTAGCCTATTCAAACCAAACGCCAAATCCGCCGCGACCGTTTGGACATGCGCACTGGATCACTTCCTGTACAACAACCACGAGCGCTACCTCAATGAACTGAAGTGGAACAACTAGGTTACTCCTATATCTACGAGTGTGTTCTTTAATTTATTTTTTAATTTTCTCCTTTAATCTGTAATTTAATTTAAAATGGTGAAGCATATTTTTCCGTTTTAAATGTAAACTAGATTCACTAGTTAACAAGGGGTGTCTTTTGGCTCAGAAGCCTCTCGGATCTCTCTCTTTCTCTCTCTCTTTCGTTCTTCTTTTGTATCAGTCGATACATTAATATATTTTTATAAATACAAAGTTATATATATATATATATATATATATATATATATATATATATATATATATATATATATATATATATATATATATATATATATATATAACTGATACAATAACGAGCTAAAACAGATGACCACATTTGGCCAAACTGAGACACCAGTTTGTTAAATTCATAGGGTTAAATTACTAGAATAGTTTTTAAAAAAAAATTAGGTATCACAAAAACATCTTAATGAATAAAAAGCAGTAGTAGGACTACTCTTTTACTGTCTATGGTCTAAAGACTCAGCTAAAGACTACTCAGAGCACTGCTGCTGATCCACTCTATTTCATGTGGTGTTTTAACGTAGAACGTGCACCTCCGCCACCTACTGGACTGGGGTGTGCACTGCAGCACTACAGTGCACTGATCAGACAAAATCAACAATATAATGAGTTGACTATATTTGATAAATACAGATGTTGCTACCAAAAGGTAAGAACTGTAAATAGGGTACAATAACATGTAGCCTATTTCATGCTATGAACGACAATACACAGTTGAAGCTATATGCTATGCTTTAAACATTTCTTTTGGTGGATTGAAAATTACTTTTGAGGATATTTATTTTTGTTTGTAAAACTGGTTTCCACTGCATTGAGCTATAAGCATATTCATGTTAATATCATAGACTGTAAAAAAATATATAGTAAATAATAAGTAATATGATAATAGTATTCAAAATAATTTAGTGAAAAGTGTGCAAGAGATGAAAATCACAAGTGTTTTTAATACTGTCATCCAATCTCAATGGTAAACTGCATAGAGGTTTTATTCTCAGCATCTGCATGCACAAACATTTTCCCTCACTGTCAAGTGTGTAACATGGCCCATTCTGTTTAAACTATGAATGCACAATTCATTTCTTGGACTATCTAGGCATTCTGGAAACGGTTTAGACACAGGTCAAATCCGTGTTCTCAGCTAGGTATTTTTACTCAGTACAAACAGCATATTAGCAGTATACATACAAACATATAAGACAATTTTCTCAATTCTACTCCTTCCAGCACTGTACATTTTGAATGTATATATATATTTTTTTTAACACACCTAATTCAACTCATAATTTCCTTAGTAGTGATTAGGGCTGGGCGATAAAACGATAACGATAATTATCGCGATATAATTTTTCTCGATAAAACGATATCAAGAGTTCGATAAATGTTTGATAATGTTTATGCGCCAAAAGCGGAACGAAACTCATTTGAACCGCGCGCGCGCCTCACGGACTGTTTATCCGCTCGGCTCAAAGTCCAAACGGCACAACGGCAGCGCAGCGTGAGCTCACTAGAGCAGACGCGACTCTGATCGCCTCGCTCACGAGATCCAGTGAGAAGCGCTTGAATTCAGCGAAGAACACAAATGTCTCAGTGATTTAAACCAGTTTAAAGGGCTGACGAACAGGAGAAACACTGTCAATCTGAATTGATACTGAATCCATTTACCATGGATTTACTGTAACGTTGGCCTAGTAATATTAACTGCACCATGAAATGTGGGATATACATTGAATTGTATTATATTATTAATGTAGACAATGTATTAAATGACTAATGGAATATAATTACAGTATTTAATAATGTATTTAGGCTACTGTTTTTCATACAAATTACCATAGAAACCATAAAGTTACATTTTGCCATGATAGTGAGGTGCTATAGGCTATGCCTGGCTTTATCTGTGGTTATCATGATCTAAATGCATGATACTGGATAAGCAATGGTTAAAAACTATGGTTAAAACTCAGTCAGAATATTACATTTGACCAAATAAAAGTGTGGTTGTCAATTTTTTTTAACAGATGTTACTGTTTTTGTTAATGAACATAAATTTAACATAGTAGTATTAGCTTGAGTTAGGATGCAGATTTACTGTCAACTCACTGTCAAATATGCGTTTCGAGATAAAACATGTAATATTAATATTGCAGCCTGCACTGCAAACTGTGCTGAAGATATGTGCCATCAAAGTCAGGCAACACAAACCTGTTTCAAGACTTAATATCCCCATTAGCACATGCAGAAACTAAGAAATATATGTTTGGCAAGTGATTGTCATGATATGTTCTGACAATAAAGAGTAGTTTAAAACCACAATTAACACACTAGTTTCTACAACTTTCACTTAGGAGCAAAAATCTGCCATTAAACTTGAAAGAAATAAAGATTTGACATTTATCGTGATAATTATCGATATCGACTGATATAAAAAAAATATCGTGATAATTTTTTTTGGCCATATCGCCCAGCCCTAGTAGTGATGCATATGAACATTATGTAAAATTAGAAAAACACCTCAAATGTGCAGTGCTGTGCAGAACAGTATAGAGGAACACATTGATCGAAAGAAAATACAATAAATGGAAAAAAATCTGCAATACACAAAACCAATTTTATCCTATTTAGTACTAAAAATGGTTAATAAAAAAGAAAGAAAGAAAATGTAGTTCTGTCCTAAAAACAAAAGATTCCAAGGATAAGATTTTTATTGGACTGTGTATTTTAAGTCAAACTAGAAAATCAAAATTGATAACAGAAACAAACATTTTGAAAATCCTTACAAGTAAAAATACACAAAATAACAGCTACAGTAATATAAATAATGTGCAGAACTTCCTTGTCTCTAAACAAACTGGTTTTATATTTTCATTTTTGATGTTTGTAAAAGATTTTGAGGCTACAGAAAAGGTCTACCATCTAAATTATTGGGCAAAGTTTAACCTTTTAACAAATGATGTACAGCATTTCTTAATTAAAAAAAAATCTTAATGTAAACAACTGGTTTTGTATAGTACTCATCTACAGTAATTCAAAAAGTAAATAAAACGTCAAAAAAATGGCTGACATTTGAAGTTAATGTACAGTCTAAGTGGCATTTGGAATATTGTTCAATGAAGGGCGAAAAACATGATATTAATAAATACAGTTAGCAGGGAATAACAGTAGTTTAATCTTTTGCTGCAAAACCACAGCCAAAACAGTTGCCACAATGGTGCTTGTGGTGAGGATTTCGATTAGATTCAAAGACGTTTTTCAGGTGAGAAACGAGGTAAAGGTAAGATAAGAACTGATTTTCGGGCTGCTGGGACATTAATCACCTTTTGGGACAACTGTCTTTTTTTCCGAGCACCTTCTCTACTATCAGAGAAGCACAGATCTCTTTGTGAAATTGTGGAGCTAAGAAACTTTGACTTTGTTCTTTTCCTGGGCATTGATCTGCTCTTCTCGTCTCTCCTCCCTCTCTGGCCGATCCTCACCCTGACGAGCAATGAGCAGTCGGCACGTCAGCAAAATACCAAATACCAGGGCATGGGCATAGCGTTTTAGAGGATCTCCAACCAGCTGGTGGAAGAAGAGCACCGCTAGCATAACCAGTAGCAGAATAAAGTTGGCCACGTCTTTTGGTCTCCCAGGCACAAGCGTCAGAACAATTCCACATCCCACCTCAAGAGTACCAATAATCTTGCGTAGAAGTACAGAAGAAATGCCCATTTTTTTCAACACTGGAAGGGCCTTGGCATAACTCTTGTATGCCCTTTTCTGGAAAAGGAACAGTATTATGGAATTTAGAAGCAGGTAAAATGCAATACTATCAAGAATATATAACAATATATAAGATAAATACATATACATTAAAAAAATGCATATTTTGGATTTTAAATCAGCTAAAACGTGTTTTTATTTAAATGCAGTGTTTTGCCCGTTTCTGTGATCAGTATCTATTTAAGGGGAGGGGTTGGGTTAAATAATAGAAAATATCATTAACCTGATATGAAATCAATGGAAATCTATGCAATGTCTTCACTAATAGGCTTTAGTGAAACAAACAAAGTTGTATTGCATGAAAAACAGTTTACAAGCTAATTAAGTTTTGAAGTTTCAAGGTTTTAGTGCGTGTGTGTGTTAGATGCAAACGTTTGAAATACTTTTTTATGCTCATATTGACCCAACTGTACTGCGCTGAATTGTAAGTTAATTATGAACTTTTTATTAAAGAAAGAAAAAAATGGAATGTGTCTATGACATCACAGCAGTTGCTGCACCTGCAGATGGAAGATAGCCTAGATGCCTAGAATTTGCTGGAAACCGCCGCCATTGCTTTATCATGATCCGCTTCAAAGGAATTGTTTTAGAACGAAATCACAAAACAATCACACGTATTTGATAGCGTTTGTTCCATTTATCATACAGATGATTATCATTGTGATGTCGTAATTGACCTAACGTTATTTATGCGGTAGCCTAATAAAAGAATGTTGCGGCTGTGTGCACATAATTCGCTGTTCAACTGCTCCAATGATGTTCAGTTGTTTTACACAGTCCCACTCGTTAAGAATCTAATTATGTCTGTCATATATTTTAGATTATAGATAGAACTATTTGCAGTTTAATTTCTATTCAACTCGATAGCCAATACGATTTTTTTTTTAAAATAGCTAACGTTACACAAGCAGGCACCAACAGCACTAGCGGACATTTGATAGAAAATGCAAAAACAGACAATTACATCAACACCCCCTCCTAAAACAAAGCCGTTTGCCTCCAGCTAAAGCTTAATTTGATTATTATTACGGGCGCTGCTAAACGACGATCACTTACCATTTCACTATATGCATCTTTGCTTAATCTGGGTGTGAGTTTAATTGTACCCATGAACACGAAAAAGAGACCTAGTGCAAAGGAAAGGGCGACGATGGTTATTGTTCTTGGCGAGGCCATCTTCTGTAAAGTCTCCCTTCGATTGGCATCCGTTGTCCCGCTCCAGCTTTTTTCACTGTCCTGCTGAAGATGCTGAAGGGGGGGGAAGGGCTTGAATACTGTCAAATATGGCTGCATGTCATTCCGCAACACTATTAAGAAGCACCATTAGAGGGCGCTGTTGTCACTGATCGGTTTGTAGTTCCAAAAACATCCAGTTAGTTAAAACAACTTTGTTTATAAATGGTACCTGATTATAAATAATAGAAAATTACTTCACTGTGTGGATTTACTGTCTTAAATAATGAGTTTAATGTATTTTAAAATGCAGATGACATCACCTAAGCTAAAAAATATTTCCAATTGTTTTTTTTTTTCAGTTACCCTACTGGTTCAAAGGGTTAGTTCACCCTAAAATCAAAATTGGTTCTGACGTGGCAATTCTGTCAGTAATTATACTCACCCTCATGTTGTTCCAACCCCGTAAGACTTTCCTTCATCTTCGGAACACAAATTAAGATATTTTTGATTAAATCTGAGAGCTCTCTCACTCCTCCATAGGCTTCTATGTAATTGAAACTTGCCGGCCCAGAAAGTAAGTAAAGACAATGTTTAAAAAATAGTCCAAGTGACTACAGTGGCTCAACCTTAAGTTTATCAAGCGACGAGAATACTTTTTGTGCCCAAAAACTCCCCACAAATAACGACTTTATTCAACTATTCATTTTCTTCTGTGTGGGCCTCTGAGTGAGTTCACAAAGTGTAACAGCGCAGCGCTTCTGGGTTGTACGTCAGAACCATAGACTGTAAAAAAAATATGGACGTAGTGTCCGTGACGTCACCCGTAGGTTTCTGAAGAGCGTTTCAAGGGTGTGCATCTATTGCATGGACGGAGAGAAAGCACTGACACCTGCAGAATTTCATCTGCGGTACTTTTTAACACTAAAAAGTTAAATAAGCTGCATATCTGTTCCGTGAGAGCAACAGTAACTGTTACCGCATAACGAGTGTGGTCTATAGACATTTTTAGCAACGAAATTGTCAGACATCCATTAACGTTAGTGCATGCGAGGAAAACAACTGGAAATACAGCGCTGGTTGTTCTCTCCATACTCGACAACAACGGAATGCAACGGCGTGGGCGAAGGTATAATGCGTGTATTAAATTGTATGAAATAATCCCGAAAAAAGCACGAACACGGCAGAGATGGCAAGTACAGCAGCTGCTGGAATTAGCTGAGAGTGACAGACAGCAGACAAACGGCTAGCAGTGACAGCAGCGGCAATCCACCTGTCACTCAAGTGTCCACGCCCTTAATTATGCAGGCTTAATATAATTTAAACGGATAAGTTGTAAAAAAAAAAATTCACCCCCCTCACAGTTGTCATGAAGGGCAAAATAAGCTATAAAGACTAAAACCACTTTTTGCTCCAGGCGGTAAACATATTTTTTTCTGCTGTAAAGTTGGGCATCTTAACATGGGGGAGATGCAGATTTGACTCACTTTTGCAGCCAGCCTCAAGCGGTCAGTAGATGAATTGCAGTTTAATTCACTTCCGTGTTGGTTTCAAGAGAGAGACAGGGAGGTTGCCGCTTGGTCAGAACGTAGGCTCACTATTGGCCAGCATCAGACACATGACCAGTTAATTCATCTCCAAAAAAAAAAACCCAGGTGTGTAAGCTTAGATCAGTTGATTTAAAAAAATGACACTATGTTTTGATCTGGATTTATTTGTTCATATATCTGATGGAAAAACTTCAGGGACGATTATTCTGCGAAATAAGATTTTTTTTTCTTCTTATAAAACCATGACACTTCTATAAAAAGTATAAAATGGCTAAAATGAAATGGATTCATATTTTTAAAAAAGGTACATGTACAAATAAATACAATTTCACAAAAAAGGGTAGGCAACTTCTTATTCAAACCTGTAAAGAATATCTCAGGTTCAAAGATAAATAAATCATAGATAAGTCATTGCAATGTACACCATGGTAAACCATCAGACTGATTCATCGTATACTGTCTTAGGTTTACATTGATATGTTGATAATATAAAAGTATTCACTAATAATACACCATCATCTTCATGTCATTACTCAACAATCTCTTTATACAATTACAATACAAATTATATACATTCATATTAAAGTTGCCTCAAAAAGTCTTTACAAAAGTATTGATGATGACCTTCTAGCCAATACAAAACAGTAACTAGTTTGCAGATGGGCTCAGTTCATCATCCAGTGGGTAAAAGACATTGATACGTGGTTCAGCAAGCCATCCATTTCTTCATTCTTTGTGATAACCTTCACGATACTTTTTCTTCACTATCCAGAAACAATGTCCTGTTCCTGTCGGGCTTTGAGAGCCAAAATTGCTTTTCGGTAAAGGTCTATTAGGAAACAGGCAAATTAAATGCTTTAAATTAGTCTACATTTCTACAGACCAGGGCTGTCTGTTTTGAGCAAATTCTTTTGTTTGTTTTATAGTTTTAAAATCAGTGTAGAACAATTATTGCCAATAAGTATAAAGTTCATATGCATGTGTTTTAAAATTCCTCCCACAAAGCCAAAATTCATCCCAAGAACAGCCCTGATCAAAATGAATAGTGGTTTAGAAGTCACTGATGCTCACCGAAAGTAGTTGAAAGATCAACAGGCTGTGCATAAGCAGTGGGAACTTCCTCTGTGTTTATCTTGTTCTTTCGTTTTACTTTAACAGTCTTCTTTTTTCTCTTTCTTTCCTCTTTTCCTGTGAATAAGTAGGTTAAAAGCATGAGAGGGCAATATGATGATATACACTCCTAAAAATTAAGGTTCCAAAAGGTTTTTTTTTTTTTTTGTTGCAGCGCTGCCATAGAAGAACAGTAGAGCAGTTCTTAAAAGAACCAGTTTCTTCAAACATTTTAATAATCTAAAGAACCTGCTTCCACTATGAAGAAACTTTTGTCAAATGGAAAGGTTTCATGGGTGTTAAAGGTTCTTCGTGGAACATCAATGCCAATAAAGAACCTCTATTTTTAAAGGGATAGTTCACCCAAATTCTGTCAATAATTACTCACCCTCATGTCGCTCCAGACCCGTAAGACTTTCGTCATCATGATGAACAGATTTAATTTAGGCTTTTATTCACATTTAAACATTGATCAGCGAACATAAACAGAAGCTCAACCAAACATGCTTGATGAGCGAGAACAAACCTCATTGGTTCTTGTGGAAGCTCAAACATGCTGCGTAACACACGAGAATGAATCTCATTGGTTCTCGCACGTCAAGCGAACATGCTTGAGCTTCCGTTTACCACAGCTGATGTGCGAGTTGATGAATATTTACATGTGAATAAAAGTACCTAAATTCAATCTGTAAATCATAAAGTGATCATGTCTCGTCAGAAAATTTGGACTAAACCGCAGTTTTACGATCTCTTTATGAACTTTTTTGAAGCATCAAAATAGTTGCGTAGCTGTCTATGGAGGGACAGAATGCTCTCAGTTTTCATCAAAAAGATCTTCATTTGTGTTCCAAAGATGAACGACATGAGGGTGAGTAATTAATGACAGAATTTTCATTTTTGGGTGAACTAACCCTTAAAGAGTGTATAAGCTTCCGTATTCAGTTGCTGACACCAAGTACCTCTAGAGGGTTTGGAGACCTCACTGATGGGGGATTCAGGTATACCCGAGTTCTCTTCTTTTACTTTAACTTTACGTTTCAGCTTTCCACGTTTTGGTGTGAGCAGCAATGCACTGCTGGCTTTGTCTTTCTGGATGCTGTGTTCCTGTTCTGCTTCATTTCCTTCCGTCTCCTCCACCTCTTTTTCATTTATTCCTCTGCTTAGACTCTCCTTCTTAATTTTAACATTCACTTTCTTCTTTTTGCTTAATTTCTTTTTTGAAGAGTTCTCCTAAAATGTCAAGGGGTAAATCAAGTAAAGTGAGTTATACAACAGTATAGATTTGTTCAAATTTCCATGATAAAGATTTTTAACCTTATTTAGAATATTTCTGATTGGTTGCAGAGTCCCATTTTTCCTCTCAGTTTCACTGTGATGCTCTTGACGGATATCTGTTTTGCTTGTCCGTGTTCTGCAAGACAAGAACATCTTATCTAATTATTATATGTACACAAATTACCATATAATACACTACCGTTAAAAAGTTTTGGGTCTGTACGATGTAATTAAAATGTAATTCGTTAAACTGATCAAAAGTGAACGTTAAACATTTATATTGTAGCAAAATAAATGCTGTTCCTTTGAAATTTCTATTCATCAAAGTATCCTGAAAAAAAATGTATCACGGCTTTCACAAAAATATTAAGCAGCACAAGTGTTTTCAACATTGATAATAATAAGAAATGTTTTTAGAGCAGCAAATCAGATTATTAGAGTGATTTCTGGCAGATCATGTGAAAATTCAGCTTTGCCATAACAAGAATAAATTACATTTGAAAATATATTCAAATAGAAAACTTAAAGTTCTTTAAAACTGTAATAATATTTCTCAATATTACTGTTTTTACTGTGTTTTTGATCAAGTAAATGCAGCTTTGGTGAGTATAAACCTCTTTCAAAAACAAAACAAAATCGTGTGTGTGTGTGTGTGTGTGTGTAAAGTAGTAAAGCAGCACTCACCTCTCCTCTTTAGATTTGTTCCGGCTCTTCTCTATTTTTCCTCTCTTTTCCTTTTCTTCTGGTCCTAATGGGCGCCTCCCGTCTCTCATCACGCGGCCACAGAGGTCTGGGTAGTCCAGGCACACGGCTCGCAGTAGCCATCTGAGGCCTCGCAGGGTCTTTCTGTCTGACCAGCGACGCAGGTCCGTTGAGGCAGAACATGGCTCCTGTAGATTAAAATCAACCGCTCAAAGTATATGGTAATAAAACTACTGGTAACCAGTCAAGGTGTTCCCATAAACTTTAACATTTACAAGTTGACAATACTGGCATATTATCAGTTGCTCTACTCCATAATCACTTCCTGAAGGTTTATCATATATTTTGCATATGTCAGATTTGTATTTTTATTGGTCCACAGTACTCACAATATGGCAAAGGGACCGGCTCTGGTTGACCAGCCTCTCGAGGGAGAGAATTTCAATGAGTTCATTTCCCAGCAGAGCATTCATTTTGTCCTGTTTATTGGCCAGCCTGTTAGGAGATATAGAGATGGCCAAAATAAACTGGCCTGCAGGCAAATAGTCCAATAGTCACAGATTAGACACTGAATATGGTTTAGGGCAGTCATTTGTACCTTGTTAAAATTGAAATTTTTATATTGATTTTAAAACTATTGTTTGTAGTGCCTTTTGCCTTTTTTCCTCATATATTTTAGTACTCATCATAAATGAGGTATTATTCGAAAGCTTAAACACTCAAAATTCATCCATTGTGGAACTGGACATTGTGTTACCATGAAAACAGCACCTTTTGATTTTAAAGTCTGTTGAGCTTTGTACTAGCAAAGTTACTTCTAGCCAATAGAATGTCTGTTGGGGACCATCAAAATAAATTGTTTTAAGAAGTATTAAGCAGACAGTTTAATAATACTGTAATGACTGCTAGTTGACATGTAGTTGCAAAGTTACTTAAAGTTAGTAGAATGTCTAAAGTGAATTATCTGCAATAATCTGCTGAGTGTCTTCTTTAAAAAGAGACCAACCTTCTCTTCCCTTGGTCTTTTATTCCAAAGCATTCATGAATTACAGAAATGTAAGTTTAGGTCTATATGCTCAAAAAGGGGGTGACAGTGAACAGGTTAATCAGTTTAGCAGTTGTAAACAGGGGTATCTTACACAAGAAGAGGCTTTCCTGCTACTCTTGGATGCTTCAGCAAGTCCACTAGAGCTTCTTTGACCTCTTTCATTCGTTGTCTGTCACTGGAATCCACCACAAAGATGATGCCATGAGCTTCACCGTAATGCTCTCTCCAGGACCCCCGAACCTCTTGAGCCCCACCCATATCCAGTATGTTAACCAAGTAGTTCTCCAGCTTTAATTCAGTGCGGACACATTCATGAGTGGGGCCTACTTCTCCGGGGGGCACTGAACAAAGTTACATACCATTAAAATGCAACAAATTGCAGTCAATTTAGTTTCTACAAATCTCTCTCTAATATACATTTTCATTTACCTCTCAACATCCCTCTGACACAAGATGTTTTTCCAACCTTGTCCAAACCAACAACTAGCACTGTGATCTTCCTGTGAACATTTTTAAACAAGGTTAATTAAGTTCTGTACAAAACCCTAAGGTTCTTGAGTTTTAAAGAACCCTTTAAAGTTTTTAATGTTGTTTATACGTCTATGTGGTGTTTTTAATGTGCTTTAAGACAAACCATGTGCAAATTCATCAGTCAACACCATTGTTCTCTACGTCACAAACATGTTGTAACCAATCACGTCAACGTGTGGGCGGGTTTAGCATATCATTAACTATGACCGCTCTGAAGCAGGGGGGTCTAAAGAGAAGCCAGGTTCTCCCAGTATATTTTTCTGTTGAAATGAAAAACCGAGTACATTTAGCAATATAGCGGATGGATTATGTATACGATGTCTATTACGATGTTATGATGAACTATATGCCTTTCTCCACTGCAGTTCTAAGTTGTTCAAAGCGTTTCTGAGGATACTGATTTTTTGAAGGCAGCTGTGTGATTCTGAGATGGCGAACGTGAACATGGTTTGTGTAACATTAGCAACACATTATTAGCTGTTTGATAACATTGTCAAGCCAAAGGCTAAAATCAGTTACCGTTATGTGCCCAACATAGAGACCGATACATACAACACATTCTGATACATCGTCTTGTCTTTAATTCACTCTTCCATTTCTTCTGAATCAGTTTCTGGTTCAAACATTAAGGCTGAATTCAACCAGTATTTCCACTTGCCATTGTGTAGCATTTACTAAAGTTGATTGAGTGGATCAGGTAGTCCGGGCTGGATATTCTTTGCATTTGCAGTCATTCAAGCTATTTTTAGGCATGGAGAAAATAATTTTCACAGGGAAAAACCTATAAATATGTCATTTTGGTGATCAAAGATGAGTTTTAAGAGATAAAATTATAGACTACAGGGGGACTTTATTTATTTTTATTGCATAGTACTTACATGTTTAAAGGGTTATTTAAATTTTTTCTAGTGTTTACGAGCGGTTTAGTTAATAAAAGTTGATTCAAATGAATTAATGAAAAAATGATTAATTAAAGCAAAATCCATAAAATTATCCCATGATGGGAACCCCTAAAAGGTTCTATATATGAAGCACCTGACAGAACACTTTAAGGTTCTATGTAGAACCTTATCTGATCAACAACAACAAGAAACATATAGAACTGTATAGGATTTGCTTGGTTGACTGGTACCTCAGGGGTTGCTGGAGTTTGGAGATCCAGCTGCAGCAATTGCTCATGAGGTTGAACATGTTGACCTGAGGAGGAGAGAACCAGGGAGAGCACCATCGTCTCCTTAACTCGTACCTGAAAGCAGATAACGGGACACTCAATCGCTGTACCCAACACCTTATTATGCATGTAAACCTCAGCTGTTGTGTCTCGCACAAGCATTAACCTCAATAATTAAGGATTCATTAGTAACTTCGAATTCCTGTCACCCACGCTGTAATACCTGTAATGTTTAAAGTGGCCTAAAAATAAGATATAAAGCAGTATGATAAAAGGTAGGATCCCTTATGAGAAAGAGCTGCTATAATTTTTTATATCGCTTTTGCTTGTTTATGTAAATATTTTCTTCAACGCTTTTAATTAAAAAATACTTTTAAACACTTCATTTTACAGCCAAAAAAACAACAAAGCAAAAACATATTTCTAGACATCTTTTCATACTTCAGCATTTTGGCATTTATTCTTTATTTTCATGGCTTAACGAGATCACAACACAGCAAAAGAGCTGATCAGGCATTGTTTTTGAGCCAACTAGCAGAATGAGCTCTTGAATACAAAGATAACCTGGTTATATTCACATACTGTAGCAGCTGCATGTATAAACACACAGTAGCCTAATTACATTTACAGGTGTCTGAGATGTAGGGAGGTTTGTTATCTTAGTGCTTGGTCCATTACTGGACATCTGTTCAGCCCTGTAAGCCTTTAAAGAATATTACGCTGTTCTCATTCTGAACGCATGACCCCTTTATCCAAGCAGCATGTACTGCAACAGCCCACCTATCAGTTACACTGTATGTCTGGAACCGAAAAATACATTTTCTGTTCAAATTTTCAACATAAACATTTTGACTGACACCTATAACTAAGGATGCTACAACTGTCAGTTCTAAAAGGCACATTTGACCACAGAGCCAGGACTTCAACATATTAGTGTGGATTAATTTATAAATACAGTGTAAACATATTCTTGAACCAAAAGATGTGTTCATTTCAGTGTTTCAAAATTTTTAAACAAAGAACCCTATTATATTCAGTCTACCTTCTCCGCACGATCACATATGATCATTAACAGCATTGATGAGTATATGAACATATGCAGACACACAATGAAGAACATCATATCATAGGGTTTATATAGTTATTAAACAAAAAAATATACACATCACATTACTCACAGTAGTATGTCAGAATCCATGCGTTTTTGTTTGTCTGTCCAGAGACATTTTGCACAAGGCTGCTAAAAACTAATCAGGCTCTACTTATTCTTCTAATCCTGTCACCTCATGCGGGAGGAGCTTGGAGGAACACCATCACATCCTTACAACCAATCATATGGTTGAGAAGTTGAAAATACCGACAAGCTGCCATTCTGAATAGCTGGTTTCAGTCTCTTTAACTGGGCTAAATGTAGACGTCAGCCAGGTAATTTTAAGCCAACTGTATGTAAATTGTAATTGTGAGTTATATGAAATGCCCATAGACATCTGCTTGGAGGTAATGATAAATATTTTATTTACTATTATTATTTACGTTATAACATCATACTGTTGTTTACACATCTCTGGAAGATAAAGCATCCAAATGCTGCAACTTCAGAAGATTATTGCTACTGCTTATCCAGAGTTAAAGTCACAATGAAATAAAGATTGACATTTCATTTTTTTTTTCATGGAATACTGCAGAATACGATTTTTATTATTTTTATTTTATATGTCTCGTGCAGCGTTTTTTTATGCCAACACAACCCGGAAGTTGTTATCATCACCCTGGTTCCCTCGACAAAAACCAATAGGATTTATAGGCTTGCAGAAAGTTCTGTGACCAAGAAAAGTTAATAATTCTTACACATTTTGTTCATTGTGATCTTCACAAATGAGCACAACTTTTATGAATTTTAAAGCCTAAATAAAATGCCCAGAAGTAAATAATTATTTACACCATGGTTGCATGATATGGTGCAAATATCATGCAACACCATGCACATACCTCACTGATCTCCTTTCCCGAAACACCTCCAGCCGGACCAGAGCAGGCAAACGGCATCTCCTGGTTATAGCTAGGACACGGCTCAAGACTATGGGCGACAGGGCTTTTAAAGCATCCGCTCCTCGTCTGTGGAATGCCCTTCCAGAACAACTCAGAGCTCCCAAGACTACGGATGTTTTTAAAAAAGAACTGAAAACTTATCTTTTAGAAAAGCGTATTTTTAAGTATTTTTAAGTATTTTTAAGTGTCTGCGTATTTGTTTTTATTTTTTGATTTTGTAAGCACTTTGAGATTTGATGTCAAATGTATAGTGCATTATAAATAAAATTCATCATCATCATCATCATGAAGTCAACGTCAACACCATTAACTTACGACAACTCCTTTAGCCTTTAAAAAAAAAAAAATCCCTAAAAGGTTTGAGTTAGTTTGCAATTATAAACACAACGAAGCTGTAGGCTAAAAGCAGACTAACTAGCGAGTATGAGTAGGCTTACCTGTTTGGCTGATGATGTTGTGTCTCCGACAACAACCTCTGTCATCCCATTTAGCTACTTGTTAGCAATCGCTTTTTTCAAGACATGTAATAAAGCTTTTAAAAAATCACAAGTGGGGTATTACTGCTGTATTTTATGTGGTAGAATAAAACGTGAACATATTTTGAGCTTTTAACCACAGACCTTTTTCAGGCATTTAACCAAAAACGAGTCGGTTACCTAACGTAACCTCGGTTCTCTCTAGATGAGGGAACGAGTATTGCGTAAGCTAGCTTACGCTACGGGAAAGATTCGTCTTTTCTGAGAAATTGAAGCCAAAAAATTATCTTATAATTTTGTATCCATTGTCAACGCAGTTCAGCTGCAGCAGACCATGAGCGGGCTAGCTAGCAGCTCATTGGTTCGCTCACAGAGAACTGCTTAAGCCTATGAGGAGACGCGAATGAACTCTCGGCCAATGAGAGTCTGACATGCTCTCATTGCGTCAGAGCCCGCCGAAACGGGCGTGGTCAGAGAGTATAATATTGGCGTTCTAGGCTGTAAACTCTGGTTTTCATAGAATGAAGCGAGAACGCTAGTAGCACAAGCACGGCCAGGAACGCAATACTCGTTCCCTCATCTAGAGAGAACCGAGGTTACGTTAGGTAACCGACTCGTTCTCGAGAGGTTCTCTCGTATTGCGTAAGCTAGCTTACGCTACGGGAACACCTGGTCAACGCCGTGCGTGCTAAGCATCCACTATGAGTCCCAGGGGAGACCCCAGGGAACCCTTATGAGTGGGAATAACTATATGTACATGTGACAAAGGCAGCGGGCCGGAGATTGTGTAGTACATAAGCACATGATAGAGAGGGACAGAGCGAAACCGGTCTGTGTGAATAACTGCAGCTCAACCAGAAGAGCTGTAACATACTAGACTGCTAGTAGTTTAGCCTGCAAGGCGGGAACTTCCAGATTGTAAAATCTGACAAAGGTGGAGGGGGAAGCCCATCCCGCTGCCACACAAATGTCATGAATGGAAATTCCGCTGGACCATGCCCACGATGAGGCCATGCCTCTAGTGGAATGAGCCCTGATGCCCAGAGGGCATGGCAGGTCTTTTGATGCGTATGCGGCTGCAATGGCATCAACTATCCATCTGGATAGAGTCTGTTTCGAGGCGGCTAACCCTTTGGTGCGCCCACCGAACGAAACAAAAAACTGCTCGGATCGTCTGACCGGAGCAGTGCGAGTAATGTATAATCTCAGGGCCCTGACCGGACACAGGAGATTAGAGTCAGATTCGCTATCGGATGCAGGCAGAGCCGATAGGGAAATAACTTGTGCCCTAAACGGGGTACCAATCGCTTTTGGGACATAACCATGTCTAGGTTTGAGAACGACTAAGGAGTCATTGGGCACAAACTCGAGACAGGAAGCGCTAATGGACAGCGCGTGAAGGTCTCCCACACGTTTTACTGACGCGAACGCGAGCAGAAAAACGGTTTTGAGCGAAAGGTATTTGAGGTCCACGGTGTTCAACGAACGCGCCGGGGTTCAACGAACGCTGCGACGGCTGCCACATACACCTTAAGAGTGGACGGGGACCTGCCCCTGTCCAACATCTCTTGGAGAAAAACTAGCAAGGAAGGAACCTCGCCTGACCGTGGGTCCAAATTTCTGTCGGTGCACCATTTTGAGAACACAGACCATTTAGACGCATAGAGCCTTCTAGTAGAAGCCGCTCTAGCCTGCATGATCGTGTTTAACACTCCCTCTGGCAAAGCAACGGGTAGTTGTTGATCACCCACGCATGTAGCGTCCAGCGCTCTGGGTGGGGATGCCAGATCGTGCCGCGAGCTTGGGAGAGGAGATCTGCTCTGACTGGAATGGCCCACGGGGCTGTCTGTGACAGCTGAGTGAGCTCCGGAAACCAAGTCTGACCTTCCCAACGCGGGGCTATGAGGAGCACCGAGTGGCGTGTTTCCCTGATTCTCTGAAGCACCTGTGGTAGCAGAGAAACCGGAGGGAATGCATAAAGCGGGCGGCTGGGCCAGGTCTGGGCTAGCGCGTCCTCGCTCTTTGAGAAAAATATTGGGCAGTGGGTGTTCTCTTCTGAGGCGAAGAGGTTCACCTCTGCTCTGCCGAATATTCGCCACAGCTTTTGGACTGTAAGAGTGTGCAGGGACCATTCCCCGGGGGGAATGGGGTTCCTGGACAGACTGTCTGGACCGTCGTTCAGATGGCCCGGCATGTGCGTCGCTCTGAGCGAGAGCAGGTGACACTGAGACCAAACTAAGATGCGTTCTGTCAGCCAGAAGAGATTTCTGGATCTGACTCCGCCCTGACGGTTTAGATAGGAGACCACGGCTATATTGTCCGAACGGATCAGCACGTGGTGACCGTGAATGCGCGGAAGAAAGCGCGTGAGCACGTTCTCGACCGCCAACATCTCCAAACAGTTTATGTGGAGGAGGCTCTCTTGAGCTGACCAGGGGCCGAAGGCCGGTGAGCCCTCGCAGACCGCACCCCAACCCGTGTTGGATGCGTCTGTCGAGATGACTTTTCGGCGAGAAAAGGTCCCCAAGGAAACGCCCCGCTGAAACCATTCCGTCATGGTCCATGGCTGCAGAGCTGTGATACAGGTCTGCGTTACCTTTATCAGCTGGCGGCCCGTGGTCCACGCACGGTGAGACACACGGCTCTTCAACCAGAGCTGAAGCGGGCGCATGCGCAGTAACCCCAGCTGGAGCACCGCGGAGGCTGAGGCCATGTAACCCAACGCCTTCTGAAAAGTTTTCAGAGGTGTGAGTCTGTTCATCTGAAAAGATGCGGCGAGACGCTGAACACGGCGCGCACGCTGTGTTGACAGACGAGCCGTCATCGTGACCGAGTCTAGCTCTATACCCAAGAAGGAGATAGTCTGACTGGGTTGTAGTGCGCTCTTTGTCCAGTTGACAGAGAGGCCCAAAGCTTTCAAATGGTCGAGGAGAACTGTACGATGAGACAGTAGCTCTCTCTGTGATTGTGCCAAAATCAGCCAGTCGTCCAAATAGTTCAGTATTCGCAGCCCCTGACTCCACAGGGGGGCGAGCGCCGCATCCATGCACTTTGTGAACGTAAGGGGTGCTAAGGATAGGCCGAACGGAAGGAGGGTGTATTGATAAACCTGGCCTTCGAAGGCGAAACGTAAGAATGGCCTGTGAAGGGGATTTATCTGAATCTGAAAGTAAGCATCTTTCAGATCTAGTGAAATTAACCAGTCCCCCTGGCGCACATGCGCCAGGAGTTTTCTGATAGTGAGCATTTTGAACGGTCTCTTCATGAGAACTTTGTTCAGAAATCTGAGGTCTAAGATTGGTCTGAGGCCGCAGTCTTTCTTGGGAACCAGAAAATAACGGCCATAAAACCCCGACTCGCTCATAGACAGAGGAACTCTCTCTATAGCCCTTTTGCACAATAGCTTTGCTATTTCTGAACGGAGCAGCGTCACTGCTTCTGGGTTCACAATAGTTTCTAGCCGCGCTCGAAAACGTGGAGGGCGGCGGTGAAACTGTAAGCAATAGCCTAGCCTTATTGTGTTTAGCACCCACTGGGAAATTCCCGGAATAGCTTCCCACGCTTTGAAGCGTAACGCTAGGGGGTGAATGGCTACATGGTCCCCGTTGCTGCACATAGCAGGCTGCGTGAGCGCGCTCATAGTGTTTATGACAGCGGGACTTACACTCAGAGAGGAGTTTATGGGCCGTGTAACAGAGTGAGCAGAGGTGGGACGCGCACACGGGCTCGTGGGCGCGCTTATGCACTCTGAAACTCGAGCGGGTTGGAACCGCTTTATGAGAGTGGACTCTGTGTGAGACACGGGAACTGAAATGCTTTTGTGTATGAGTGAACACAGTGTTGTGGGCACATTTTCTACACAGGAGGCT